GGCCCCGTGCGCGCGAGGGCCGGGCCCGGTGCCGGTGCCGGCGGGGGAAATGCCGGGCGGTGTCGCCGACGCTCTGGGCATGGCGCCGGCACGCGGGGAGCACGAGTCGTCGCCGACGGCCCTTGTCGCACGGGCTTGGCCTGCTAACGCGATTTTCTACCGCACCGTGTGTCGCGAAGGGCTAAGGGCTTGCGGAAGGAGAGGGAACGGGATTCTGCTGCTCTCGCCTTGACGTCATTGTTTCTAGTCTGTTTGAAGGTGATCGAGGTCCGGCTGTGGTAAAGACAGTTTTGGGTGTAACTGAACGGGTAACGCGGCCCAGCGTGGCCAAGGACAGACCTGCTTGGCTCTCTCGACTATGGTAGTAACACGTACGGGCTTGTAAGCGTTCATGTAAGCATGTGGGGAATTCCAGCTTTGAAATGCAAAAATGAAGCCATCAGATAAATGCCGATTTTCCTTTAAAATATCTCACGAGAAGTTTTAACCAAATCTAATTTTTTTTTTGTTGTTGTTATTAGCTGAACATCTCTTTCCCGGCCACTGGCTGCCAGAAGCTCATTGAAGTGGATGATGAGCGCAAGCTGAGAACTTTCTATGAGAAACGGATGGCCACGGAGGTTGCAGCTGATTCTCTTGGTGAGGAGTGGAAGGTAAGAAGTATGTGTCAGAGCTGTATTCGAGGAGCTTAAACTACAAAATTTCTTCAGTATGTAGTTGTCACGCTAGAGTGCTTGTGTGGTCTACCTGTGGCAGGTATGTTGAAAGTTTCTCTTGCTATATATACTGAGTTTGGTGATATGGCTAGCCTGTTCTGCTACTTTGATTTGTCTAAGTGCTTTTTGTTTTTAAGCTTCGTGTTTAGAGTTTCTTGCCACTCTCTGCAGTAGCTTTTTTATTCTTTATTTGACTGCTGTCTTGGTATTCAGGACAAACTAAATCTGTACCCTAAAACGGCTGATCTCTTTGCTGAACGAGTTCAAAATTGCTGTCATTGTATTTTAAACTGCTGCTGGTGCATGGGAAAAAGCATGTTGGGCCTGTTGGATGGGCTTGGAATAGTTGAGTGTTAATATGGACGGTCCAGCTGAATTTGGGTTAAGTTGATCTTTCTGCTGCCACCTCCACTGGGAAAGCAATAAAAGCCTTACTTTTCCCTTTTACCCATGTGTCTACTCCAGACACTCTTGTGTTGTACGCAGGTTTCCAGTTTGTGATGAAAACGGGCTTTGGGTAGGTTTAGGATGAAAGAAAAACTAGACAATAATGGACAAAATTCGGTCTAGTGTAGCTTAAACAAAACCTTGAATGGATAGGAATTTAATTTTTGAATATATATTTGAAGGTCAGTAGAATAAACATGAATTCTGCTACACAGAGGTATTTTTCACATCTGCTAGGTAAAATTCCTAAACCATTGGAGTGGTGTTGGTTAAATAATGTCTGCATCGGCAGTAACAGTGACTTTTCCTGAATCATGAGCACGGTGCCCTGTTGTTTTGAACTGTATGTTGTGATATCCACCACTTCACCTTGAAGTAAGAGATGCATGAGCAACTAAGAAGTGTATTTCTGTGTTTTCGTAGGGCTATGTTGTCCGCATCAGTGGTGGCAATGACAAACAAGGCTTCCCCATGAAGCAAGGTGTCCTGACTCATGGACGTGTCCGCCTTCTGCTCAGCAAGGGCCACTCCTGCTACCGCCCCAGAAGAACTGGAGAGAGAAAACGCAAATCTGTTCGTGGTTGCATCGTTGATGCCAACTTGAGTGTTCTGAACTTGGTCATAGTGAAAAAGGGTAAGACTGAATGAAGCAAAAAAATATGTAGAAGTAAGCACCTGGAAGGACCCTGCTTGCTGGTGGCTGAGATTTTCTGTGGAATGCATATGCAGTCTGAACTTCAGAGTGTGAATGTGTCTTGAAATTCCCACTGAGCTTTAATGTTCTCATAATTTTAAAACTGGTCACTGAAACTTTTATTGCTGCCAACAATCCGATCACATTAAATCAGCAAAGTGTAGCTGGGGGTGTGATGCTATTGGCAGGTGAACCCCAAGTATTACCTAGTATTATCCCAGAATTTTTATGCATTTTAAACTTAAAATAGAAATTCACTAACGAAGCAGGTGTTCAGTAGGTGCAGGATTAATTGGCATGTTTAAACTTAACATTCTTCAAGGTGAAAAGGATATTCCTGGGCTGACAGACACAACCGTGCCTCGTCGTCTTGGTCCCAAGAGGGCTAGCAGAATCCGCAAACTGTTCAACCTGTCTAAGGAGGATGATGTTCGCCAGTATGTTGTGAGGAAGCCTCTGAACAAAGAGGGTAAGAACTCAAATTTTTGAACTCTTTGGTTTCATTTTGTTATCAGCAAGGAGGTGTCCAGCCTAGTGCAGTGAATGAAGCTTACTATAGTAGTAGATCCAGGAGCTGACTATCATGGCATTTAAGCTTTGTCAGCTGTAACTTATGGGTAAGAAGTTGAGTTTCTTGGTTGCCCCATTTCTTTTACCCTTCTCTTCCCTTTCCATCTACTTTGGCATAATTTGTTCTTAAATGTTTGCTAGAATGTGGAGTAATACTTAATAGTGGTTCTAAGAATAATCCAAAAATAATTGTTAGTAAGAGAAGGTTAAATAAGAGGTGGAATGTTTTTGAGACATTTTTATGAGGTGGAGGAAAAAAGCAGTAGAGAATGTATTAAGATTTTTTTTCCCCATTGCTTATAGCAGTCTCTGAAATGAGCTTTTCTTGGAAGGGCACTGTTTTGCTTACCACCTGTCTTTTGCAGTGTAAAGTTTTAATTTGGGGTTCTGTTGTGTTTGATCAGGGAACAGAAGGGGTGAGGATTTTTAGCAGAAAGGACATGATAAAGCTTGGGCACTGTGAAAGTTTGTTGGGTAAAAAGACTGCTATTTTCTGCATCATAGGAACTATTCTGTCTGTTAAAGAATGTGATCCTGGTGGACATCAGGCTGTTGCTTGTGACTCCTGAAGTCAGGCAGGATTGAGTAGTCAAATTTTACAGATGTGTGTGGTGGTGTGTTTTGTTTGTTCATTATGGGCTATGTAGATCTGGGTGGTTTTTTTTAGATACGCATGTCAAGCCTATGTCGAATTGTAGAGAGCTTTTTAACACTGAAAACTTGATGGCTTGTTCTGAAAGCTCCATGATGAGTTTCCATATTCTTTAAACATTTTAAGTTTAAGGGGAATTACTTAAGACAGACCTGCTGAGAAGCTATGAATTTTCATAAAAATGCACGGAGTAAAGAGATGCATTACTTACACTTCATTGCTGATAATAAATCATGAGCATTAAGACTATATCTTGTTAATGCTGCATCTGACAGTAATTGATCATTTTTCGTGCAAAATCTGTCAAGAGGTTGAACTCTCTGTAAGTTGCTATAATATGTATACACTAAATGTTACCATAACAGTAAATGGAACTTACTCTTAAGTTTGCTAGATGAGGCCTGAGGCCTCTTTGGAAAATACTCTGCCACTTCTGCTGATTCGTAATGCTTTTTTAGGCAAGAAACCCCGAACCAAGGCCCCTAAGATCCAGCGACTAGTGACTCCTCGAGTTCTGCAACATAAGCGCAGACGTATTGCTCTGAAGAAGCAGCGCACTCAAAAGAATAAGGAGGAAGCAGCAGAATATGCAAAGCTCTTGGCCAAGAGAATGAAGGTGCGTTTTGCCCTTATAACTCAGCTGTATGGAATACCTCATACCCCAGAATCAAGGGATTTGATAAACTTGACTGTATGCTTAGAGGTGCTCTGTACCTAGCTCATTTTGAATAGGAATATCTGAATGTGAGTATAAACATTGCTGGTCAGATGTTTTTGTGAGCATTTCTATCCATTTTTGCCAGTCCTAGAGTAGTAGAAATTAACCAGACCAGTTAATTTAACTGAGAACTGATTTTGAAGAAAACAGTGAACAGTTATGGCCTGTGAAGATTGATTTGAACTAAAATTACTACTGCAAAATTCAAGTTGTAACTCAGATGCCCAAACATTTGAATGATTGTGTGGAGAAATAGGATCTAGATTGGAAGATAACTTGGCAAGAAGTTGCATGTTTGGATGAGTTTGCTCTTGCACCTAAAGCAGCAGTGACTGCCAAAGCAATACTGTTGGAATATTTGGCACAGTATTTGAGTGTTTCATGACTTCCAGACGGAAACTGAGAGTAGGAAGACCTCTAGTATGTTGTGAACTCTGCATTAGCATTTTTACTGTAATTTTGGGTGGTAGTCCGTATCGTTTAAAGGCATGGGTCTGAACAGGTTTGGGTACTTGTAAAATTCTTCTGATCAGTGAAGAAGTGAAACTGTATTTTCCTTTATTCATTTAAGGAATCCATTCTTTCTGGTAGATTCCCTCAAGTTGCATTTTCCCTAGATTGTTCCTTTGTAGATGTTTTGAAGTGCTTGATTATGTGTAACGTCTCATTACTCACTTCATGCTGTTTGGCTTTTCAGGAAGCCAAGGAAAAACGCCAGGAGCAGATTGCCAAGAGACGCAGGCTTTCTTCATTGAGGGCTTCTACATCCAAGTCTGAGTCCAGTCAGAAGTAGAGATGCACATGAAGCTAAAAATAAACCCTTTTTGTGGTTAACTTTCAGTGTGAGACTTCCCAGTGTGTATTGTTACTGGCCACCTCTTAAAAGAAATAGTAGTCTAGACTAACTGCATCACGCAGACCAAACTGGAACTACAAACCTTGGTCTTGATTCAGTTCTCTTCTGAGAACTTGTAATATATATTCATGTCTTTAGTGATAAGTTCTACTTTTATGCATGTTGTTTTTTCTGTAGACAGGATCTACCTGTAATGGCAAAGTCCTGTGTGACGGTGCAGCAGTGTCCACAGGAACTAAACTTAAGCTAATCTTTAGGAGCTGTGGGTGGAACTCACTTGGTGCTGTTCAGTGGTTGGTTTGTTGTTTGTGGGTTTTTTAATCTTAAGCACAAGATAGTGTTTCCAGTTGAGGAATCCTGGCACTTGGTTTTGATACCAAGTGTAACATTGGTAAAATGTAAACCCTTCAGCTGATTCTGAGCAGAATTTAGTTCAATTGAGTCAGCCACTGGGAACAGGCTCTCCAGGGAAGTGGTCATGGCAGCAAGCCTGTCAGAGTTCAAGGAGCATCTGGACGAGGCTCTAAGTCATATGGTTTAGTGTTAGGTAGTCCTGTGAGGAGCAGGGAGTTGGACTTTATCCTTATGGATCCCATCCAGCTCGAGATACTGTATAATTCTATAAGTATTTCAGTATTCTGCTCTTGAAATTGGTACTGAATACTGAGCATGATTAAGCCAGCCTTTAAAGGTTTGACTTAGAAATTTCACTGAAGGGTAAAAAACTTTACAGTAGCCTTTATGTATTCAGACTGTACTTTGTGCAGACCTAGTACCAGGTAAGGGTGATGAGAATTCTGCTCTGACTTAAGAACACGTGTTAAGTGTTTGATGTTGGAATGGTCTGTGGCTAAATAGATTGTCTTAGTTGTTCTTAAAATAGTAATTGGGATCCACCTCGGTTTTTGTTGAGATAGGTGCTTCTGTTTCTAGTATAAAAACTGCAATACATTAAGCTTTACTGCAGCCTTAGAAGTTAGGAAGCTTTTCTTTTTTTTCCTTCCTGTGTGCATGGAAAGGCTCTTTAAGTCAGGGCCCCATGACTGTCTAGAAGCAGGTTTTTTTTAATACCCTGAATGTGGAATCGACTCCAGAAAATGAGAGTTGCAGAACATACATAAGGTGAACTAGATATACCACTGTATTTCTTTCTTTATTTTTTTTTTTTAATGGAGGCCATGTTCCAGACCTACAGTTTCACTTCAGCCAAGAGGTTCTTTTCTCTTACTAGTGAAGATAGCCATGTAGGCCCTGTTAAGCCTGAGCTTCACTAAAATAGAAAGTGTACCTTTCACAAATCCAGTTAGAATTTAATGTTAGTCTCTCAGCTGCCAAATTGATATGGAGAAAATGCGGATAAATCTATCATCTGGCAGTCAGATATGCTTCATATGACATCCTTAACCTGCTTACTAAAAACCAACTTGCACATGCACGTTACAAATCTACTGTAAAGAAGTCGTATCAACAGGCACTGTCAAGCAAAAGTGCATTCACTGTGCTGAGAATTTTACAGTAATCTGCAGAAGGAAAATTAACACGTGACTAATTTTTTAACACAGTCTATCCTTCTCTTTTGGATCCTTGTAAGAGGCATTTACTGTGGTCAGGGTCACCAAGCATCAAGATCCATGTGTCCCAGAAGAGACCTTAACAAGGATGTCCTACTGTATAGGCTGCTAATAAGTCTGAAGCAGTGCAACTAACACCCAGTTGTATTACCCAGCCTGCCCAGGTCTCTGGTGTGTCCACCTCACCACCCTGTTTAGTGTCATCAGCAAACTTCACGAGGGTGTTTTCAGTCCCTGGGGGACCCTACTTGTGACAGGCTGCCAGCCTGAGTAAAAACCATTGATCGCCACCCTCTTGAGTGCAGGCTGTGAGACCATTTCCTACCCATTTTGCAGACCGCCCATCCAGTCTGCACGTTGACAATGTGTCCAGGAGAAGGCTGTGGGAAATGGTGTCAAATGCTTTGCCGAAGCCTAGCTAAACAATACTTGCTTGCCCTCTGCTGACAGATGTTACTTGCTTGTAGCAGGTGATGGAAGTTTGGCATGATATGCCTTTGGTAAATCCGTACTGGATTTTCCCAGTTGCCTGCTTTCACCATGGCTCTAGGTTATGGATGAATCTATTCCCAGATGTGAAAGAGGTTAATGATGTAGTGCTGGCCCTGTGCCCCCTGTGCTCTTTCCAACTTTACTACAGTAGGATCTGTAATAAAACGTTGCAAGGCCAGCAGCTGCAGAAGTCTCTTAGTGCCTTAGCAGTTCAAAACCTGTGATACAAAACATAATGACAAACAGGAAGTGCTATCTGGGAGCAGCAGCTTTTCTTTGAATTTAACAGCAGTTTCAGCCGGATTTCTGCTCTTCAACGGCAATGTTTTTCAGCCAGTGTGAAGCTCAGCTGCAAACTTGGAGACACCTTAAGCTTCAGGGCAAGTAACAGGGACTACTTTGGCCACAACCTGATAGGTTGCTGTTTCATCACTCCACAACCCAAGGAAACGGAACACATGTTACATTGACATACTTAATCACTTTTAACTGGCAAGGTTTGAATTCAGACAGTATGACACTACAGAAGAAAAAATGGGGAAAAATGCCAGAGGAAAACACCTTGAGGAAACCTGAACAAAAATGGTGGAACGTCCCTCTAAACTACTCTAGTAACCAGGCAAAGCTAGCATCTGCTCCTCCCAGCAGTTTCTGGCTGCCACCCATCCCCACAGAGCCACTGAGACTGGTAGGCAACTCTGGAAGCCTGTAGTGCAAACCGCTGCTGAAGCAGGGTGGTGTTCAGTCGGGTCTGAGCATTTCTTAAAAGATAGAGACTCCACAACCTTCCAGGGAACCTGTTTGGTGTTTCACCACCCTCAGAGTTAAAACATCTAAGCTGATTTTCCTGTAGCTCAAGTTTGTCCCCATGGCCTCTTCTGGCACAGGACGCCACTGAGAAGAGTCTGGCTCTGTCTTCTCTATTCCCCACCTACCCCGTCAGGTATTTAGACACATGGATGAAATTCTCCCTCCTCCCTGCCCTCCAAGCTTTCTCCAGGTTGAACAGTGCCAGCTCTGTCAACCTCCCCTTGTGTGACATGCTCCAAGTTCTTCATCACCTTCGTTGGCCTTCACTGGAGTCATTCCAGGAAGTCCAAGTCTCTCCTGGTACTAGGCAGCCCAGACTTGGCCACAGCACCCAGACATGTCTCACCACTGCTGAGTAGTGAGGAAAGATCACCTCCCTCCACTTGCTGGCAATGGTCTGCCTAATTCATCCTGGGACGCTCTTGGCTTGCTTTGCTGTGAGGGCACTCTGCTGGCTCACAGTCAGCTTGGGGTCCACCAGGAACCCTCCGTCTTTTCCTGCCCAGCTGCTCTCCAGCTGGTCTGCCCCCAGCCTGCGCTGGTGCATGAGGTTATTCCTACCCAGAGGCAGGGTCTTTGTGTAAAAGGAACTAGGCCTTAAGCCTTATTGTTTTTAAGACTATTCATATTAGACATATAACTAATGATTAGAAATTGGTTTAGATACGATTAATAGAATGCAGGTGCTTATAAAACAATATGCATAAGCTGCTTATTTGTCCTATGTGTCTCCCCTTCCATGGCTGGCTTGAAACCCAGTCAAGCTGAATCAATAGAAGAAGGATCATACATCTTAGGACCTAAGACATGGGAGTAAGTGATTATCTTTAGAACAAGATAAATTAATAGAATAGCCTGAGTAATTTTCAGAAATTCAAAGGTAATCTTTGGTGCATAAGAAGACAAGTGATCGTGGTGACGCAAGACCTTCTGCCTACGACTGCTAACTTCAGAAGAACCGTGACACGAGAATTGATGAGATAAATTGACGAATGATAGCGACATGGGAACCGAGATCAACTGGAAAATCACAAAGTCTTTGGACTGGGACAATGGGTGGTAAAAAGGTATATAAGATTGGGAAATTTGGAAGGTTGCCATTCACTGTGGTGGTGGCCCAACTCTGAGTTGTTAATAAAGCAAACCTAGAGAAACCCACGTTTGAAAATTCTTTAACAGAATTGGCAACCCAGATGGGACTCTGAGACACAACAGAGAAAGAGAACAATGGGATATTTCTCTGGACAAACCCATTACCAACCCTCAATTGCCAGCAGAAATAATCAGGTGAGTTCACCTAAGAGACTTGGGCACGGGTAATTCCAGATAAAATTTTCCTGGGAAACCCTTCTATTTAAACTTGCAAAAAATATTAAGAAAGATGGGGTCAGTACCCAGCGTTGAAAGACGGACGCCCCTTGCT